CAATATATATATATAGATATATATAGATAGATAGATAGATAGAGAGAGAGAGAGAGAGAGAGTAGAGGGCAAATTATATAAAAATCCACTAACTGTTATAAAGGTACTCACGAATTTTCATGTGTGGTTTCATAGATGAAAGAAGGTTTATTTGAAAATGAATTTTTCAGTGAAGACATAAACTTTCATCTATTTTTATATACAATAATTTACTTATTTATGTTATCGTGATAGAAAGTCAAAAACGTTAACAAATTAATGCATGTGGAATTGATTGAAAGTATGTAAAAAGTTTGTGAACAGAACTAAATGTGAAAATGAAGGTCCGTGTTCTTTTAGCCGTCAAAAAATCATCCCTTCCAAAATCTTCAAAAGCGTTCTCACTTTATCACGAAAAGGGGTTGTTCACATATGATCCAAACTCTCTCTCTCTTTCCCTCTCTCTTACATAAGAATGCCCAGGGACGGACCTACTTTGGTGGTTATGGTGGCACGTGCCACCGTATTATTCCTCCATCGGAGGGTAAAAAAATTTAGGTTCGTGAAAGGTGCAACAGTATTAATCTGTTGTGTGCCACCGTATGTATTTTGAAACTACAATGAGAACAATTTTTATTTAGTAGAGTTTGTTTGCAAGGCTTTTATTTCACTACAGACCCAAGTTCGAATCGTATTAGTGTCATTTTCTTAGTCAAATGGTTCCACCAATTGGAAAAAAATTCGTATATTTGTTTCTTATAGTCAAAAATTCGTTTATTCGTATATTTGAACCTTTACATTAGAACTACTGAACCTCACTACAATCAAAATTGACTTTATAGAACGCCGAAAATGTCTAAGCATCTTATTAGATTGCTTTATAAGATCAAACAATAAAGCGTAATATCTAAAAGTATTGAATAAATTTATAGATAGCTTTTGGATGTCATAACAAGTTTTTAAGACATTTTTAAAATAAAGTTTCATATCAATTATCTTATAGAACAGTATTTGAAAAAATGTTCCATAAAAGAATATGTCAAAAAAGGCATATAAAAGAGCTGATACGACACATTACTTTAAAAATGTCCTAAAAACTTGTTACAACACCTAAAAACGTCTTATAAAATTACTGTAACATTTTTAAATACGATGCTTTAATCCATAGAAATTTATAACTTGTAATTATCAGTTTGTCCGATAATGTGGTCCTTCAAGCAAATTACATGTTCTTATTCATGGTCTTCTTAAATGCACAATATGTAAAACATAAATAAACTTAATAGAGTAAATTATAAATTTGGTCCTTGTGGTTTGTCTAAAACAACACTTTTTTACCCAAACAACATCGAAATTATAAGATGACCATCACGGTTTGTAAAAACATCCAGATTTGGTCCCTCCCTCTAACAATAGTCAAAATATTCCGTTAAATCAATTTCATGATTTGGTCTATGTAGTTTTTGATTAGGTAAATGGTAAAAATATCCCTCATTTAACGAAATTTTTTAACGGTCGTCAGATGGATGAACCAAATCCATGATGATCATCTTGTAATTTTGAAACCGTAAGAACTAGAAACGTTATTTTTAACAAACCAGATAAAGCAAATTTATAGTTTACTTTATTATATATCAAATAAAACCTTGTATGATAAAAATGGTGGCCACATTTTTGCCAAATATGGTGTCTACCATGATTGCTTTATAAGGTATGCAATTAGAATGATGATGCTTGAGAGTACAATCATCATATTTGCAATTAGTTTCATGATTTTTATTAAAATATCCATCAAATTTAATCTTATTTTTTTTTATATTTTTGATGGATTTAAGGTTTTTGTTATTCACAGTATTCTATAATAAAGATTGCTGATATAAAAAACAATCGAACCCAGTCTTCATATTTCGATCTCATCAAGAATTTGTGGTTGCTGTAAAAAAAGTTAGTGTTGTTTGGTTTATATACAGTGTTCTAGTGATTCTCTTTTTCATGTGCGTCATCCAGTAAGTAAATGGATACCAGAACAAAAAGTATTGTACGTCTTTGAATCCGGGTTTATTTTAAACTTTTGAGGTTTTTGATCTTACAAAACCATGACAGTGCCACCTAGAAGATGGAAAGACAGGTAATGGAGAGGACAAAATTGTCATTTTTCTAAGTTGAAAAGGGGTGTTTCAGGAAAAATACTTTGTTTTATCATTATTTTAAAGATTTTTCGTAACTGCCCACGAAACAAGCCAATGGTCATACTCATTGCTCATTGTCCTTTTTTTCATGATTCAAGATTCTTAAAGAGATCCTAGAATGACTATTTATTTATTTTAAGTTGTTTTGGTTTTTTTTTCGTGATTCATGATTGTTAAAGGTCGGATCTTTTGGTTTATTAGTGTGGCTGCCCCACTGGACATTATTGTCCTGCCGCAATTTTGCTAAATGGGTATTTTTCAACAACGGTTGATGGTTACATCGGCGAAATGTTTGGGAACAGAAGATCCTATGTGAGAACCGACGTTTCAACTAGAAAGGTGCAAGGTCGTCTAGTAAAAATTGAAGTAAATATGGACAAAACATAGAGCACGGGATAATATCGAATGGCATCGAAATCACGAGTTATAACATTTTTTTTTATCTTTTACACAATCAAAATCGATATTAGGATTTTGGTCCTTGAGGTTTTTGATTGTATATAAGATAAAAAAAATCGATAAAAAGAAGAAAATACCCATTATTTAACTTATTTTTAACGGCCGTTAAAGAGATGGACCAATTCCGAATGTTTTTACAAATCATAATGACCATCTTATATTTCGAAACTACAAGGACCAAATTTGTATTTTACTTTAAGTTATATTTTTATACTATTTTTTTGATTAACCTGGATATCTAACCCGCTACTCGAGCCGACTAATCCCAGGGCGACCACCTATTTTGTGGGTAGCCCGGAATCACCGCATTTGAACATCCATGGCCACAAGGGGGATTTTTATTCCTCCTTGGATTTGAACATGAGACCTCCAAGTACTCTTGACCTTTGGAGCTCAAGCTCAAACTAATCAGGCACCACCCTTGTGGTTATTTTTGTATCATTTAAACCAACTTATAATTCATAAATTAATTTTGAATTTATATTATGTTTTTATTAAACGCGTTTGTTGCAAAAACAAGTGTAGTGCAAGATTTGATGCTTCATTGAACATGGTATCATAAATGCTTCAAAATGTAACGAAAATTACTGGGTTCCTAATGTGACGATGGTTTTTATTTCCAATTAATGTAACAAACGTACAATTCTTCTTATTTTATACCCATTTAATACGATAAACAGATTTTCAGCTTACGTAATATAGGTTGATTTTGATGTTAAACTTTTGAGGAAACTACAACTTGATCCTTCTGGTTTTTCAAACATAACGTTTTTCGTTCCTCCAGTTTTTGAAATTACAAAATTGGCATCATGGCTTTTAAAAACGTCCGAATTTGATCCCCTTACTCTAAAGGCCGTAAAAAATTCTGTTAAATTAGTGGCATTTTCGTCATTTAATCGATTTTATTGTCTTTCACTTAATCAAAAACCACATGGACCAGATCATATAATAGATTTTGATTTGGTAAATGACGAAAATGTCCATCATTCAACGATTTTTTTTAATGACTATTAGAGATAGGGACCAAACCTGGACGTTTTTTTGTAAACCGTAATGGCCATTTTGTAATTTCGAAAACGTAGGGACCAAAAAAGTTGTTTTCAACAAACCACGAGGACCAAATTTGTAGTTTACTCTAAACTTTTCCACCTAATTAGAATATAATTTTACAAACTAACATCTATACGATGAATAGTTACAAGATTTGTCGGTTATCGATAAAAATAGGCACGAAATAAAAGAAACTGAACGTTTTTTTTTATTAACTTGGATATCTAATCCGCTATGCGAGCCGACTAATCCTCCTGGTACCTCGTCTAATGGAACATAGAGGGACGTAGGAATCTTTTTGGTAGAGGCGTACGCTATCTGTGTTGGTTTTATACATTTTTTAAATCCCATGTTGGAAGGGGATAACGGTTTATAAATTTATTTCTAGAATAACCGACAAATTGGAGAAAGCTCCAAGTAACTCTGCCTTTACATCGGGATATAGAGAGTACCTTGACATATATTTAAAAGTCAAAAGATGGACCTTGAACATTCAGTCGAATCACGAATACGCTTGTGACATTAGTCACATGACCACTCACCTAAGGCTCTGTGATCGAACCATAGCGACTAACGTGACTGTAGCCGCGACGTAGGTCGCATGGCTAGAGCAAAAGGTATAAATACCTTTCATGTGAAGATTTTTTGCACTATGTTTTATCTCAGGGGTTTTTTGTATACCTCTTAATAGTTCCATTAAGAGGCAACATCTGAATCATTAAGATGTGAATCTTGTTTGACAAAAAAATTTTATGCCTCTTAATGATTCTAAAACCCTCTGAATGATTTTGTATCATAGGTCTCCCTTAACCATTAAGCGTCCTAATTTCATTATAAACAATTGCCAAACAGTTATATTTAATTTTACGAATTCTAACCACTTAATCATTCTACATCAAATCATTCAGTAACTGCCAAACAACCCCTGAATATCTTCCTTATTCGTTGTTTCAAGAAACAAATTATCAGTTCGATGAGATTAAATTTGACGTGCAATAATTCAATAAGATAATTTCACCCCCTACACGTCGTCCGGAAAAAAAGCACGATTGTGAGCGAAATTTTGTCACATGACATTGCAACTTGCAAGCCTCTATCTGTTTCCAACACCACCCAGTTCGGATTTATCATCGAAAGGTAACAATTTATTGGTTTTAATCATGTAGATTTTGTTGCATCTATACGGGTTCCATGAAAATATATGAAACTTTATTAGATTACGATCGTAAAGAGTTTTTGAAGTGAAAATCTGAGGTCGAGAAACTCAGCGACGCTATTCTTGAAGTACTGAGGTGTGCTAATAACCGGATATAACGAAAAGAGTGGATAATAATTTTTTCTTCACATTATCATATGTACTATAAAAATGGGGTTTCTTGGAATTTAACGAAAATACAGCGAAAAACTGCTTAAAATTTGATCGTTCAAGACGAAAATGCTCAACTATATATCGGAATTTGATAGCCTGCAGTGTTAGCTACGAAGTCGAGAATCTTTAGACATTGAAGATTTTGAAGGAACCGACGACTGTGCTTAATTTATCTTTCATTTTGCCCCATCGTCTCTCGTTTGCCCCCGTTGTCAAAGTGTAGAACTTCCCTGCCAAATGAAAACAAAAAAATTCAGCCCCCACGATTAACCAAACAAAACAAAACGAGCCAGGGATCTGGGTAAAATGTACGCAGACTTGACCTCTACCCTAAAGAATAAAGGGGTTGTTTCCATGAAGAAACTCAGCATACGCAATAGTGTGAGCAAACGAATAGTAGAAGTGGAGATCAAATGAAGTATGCTTATACCGTTGCCGATAGTGATTGTGCTGAGAGCGTGGCGCGTGAAGTTTGGGGCTTGAGCAACGAATTCAAACGTGTAATAAGCTTTCCCATCAACATCATGCTGTAACATGAAAACGGTGATAAATGATCAGTTGTATCTAGATAAACACATGGACACACACACACTCTTTTTCTCCCTTGAGCCACCACCAAGAACCACCACAAGATCAAACCATTATCGCCACCATCACAACATTAAACCATTATCCCCACCACCAAGAACCATCACAACATCAAACCGTTGTCACCACCACCAAGAGCCACCACAAGAACAAACAAACAATTGTCACTATCACCATTTTCAAATGGGATCAAATTTCCGTTTGTAGAGGATGGTAGAAAGTTTGCTGATCGAGAGGGCCTAGGAGGGGTAGGCTGCGAAGAACGTGGGATGACCAATTTATGGCATAACGAGGAACTCACTTCTTGGAGTTTCCGGGAGAGAGAGAAGTGAAAACGGGGATTAATTGGTGTCATTGGCGTCGCTAATGATGGTATAGGTTGTGTTACTTGTGGTGATCCGTGGTGGTGGCCACGGAAACAAAAGAGATGTGTTTGTTGGTGTAATTATTGGTGGTGGGTGCTCATAGCCCAGACGCATAACAGTACTTTTCGTTTAAACGGACAAAAAACACACACCCTATTAGCGGTAAGTCTTGAATCCACAACCACCGGTGCAAGAGATTCGGTACGAGTTAAGGCAAAGTCCAACAGTTAGATGCATAACCTTATAATAAGGCTTTGTCTCAGAAATGAGTCTAAATTCGACCATTTAGAATCGAGTGAATTACCTTTAGACTCAAACATTCACTAGAATTGTGCTCTTTTAGTGACTATAAGTATGGAAAACTGAGGAACACCCTAATAACCATTCATCTGTACAATATATGTACATCTGCACAAAAAGTAACTGAAAATGTTTCACGGTTTCTATGCACGTGTGCAAACTGGACAAATTACTTTTATGCACGTGTGATAATGCTTATGCATCAATGCATATATATGCATATACCGGTTCTCACGGCTCTCAAAATATTTATAGTTCATAACTTCTCATTTGAACTTTCTCCTATAAAGACCATTAGAACTGGGACGAAGGCATTGTTCTCCAGCTAAATCGAGTTACCAAATGAATCAAACGCTACCTTGGGACGTCGTTAACAGAAAAGATGTTGTATAAACAGATTTAATTAGGAATCTAACCTCCGTTGCATTAAGTAGCTTTGTCTTCTGTGATGGGGGAGCAAGAACCTTTTTAATTAAGGCTTCTGCAACCTGAGATTTATCAACATATTATTCTAGCATCGGATTAGCTAACGATTGTGAAACGGAAGACACCCCTTTCAAGAAGCAATTACGAAAATTTATAAAGTGAGACAACTTTAAATGATATATGGAAATGAAGCAAACCTCTTGTGGGGAACCAAGGTCCCGAATGTTCTCTTTGTTTGTCGGGAACACATTAACACTGACATTTTCTAAAGGTTCGATAACATCTTTGAAAACCTTGTCTTGGCCTTCGATAACAATTTCCTGGCTCAAAAAGAAGCAGAGTGAAGGATCACATTATCAGTAACATTGTGGCATATATGTTGTGGAATTTCAAAATAGTGTATAAACTTCAGTCAGTGGTGGATGCAGAAAATCAAGTGTATAAACAACATTGTTTTATTGTATCTTGTGAAGTGATTCGCCAAAATCTGAAGCACATATGGTGGGGGCGAAATTGCTTTAGGGAAAAAGTTCACTGGCCTTGAAAGCAATAAGTAGTAGATTTATCCTATATTTTCCGCACTTACTTTTAATACCCAAAAAACAACTACATGTATAGGGGTCGGTTCAAATAAGATGGCTAAATACCGTGAGAAGGTAAGAAGAAAGATTCATATGTGAATCATTGAAAAAATCCGGAAAAAAATATATCTGAAGATGCATATTTGAACCGATGTTACAGATTATTCATATAGGTTTATATATGCATCTTCAAATGGATCTTTTCAATGTTTCACATATAAACCTTCGCGTAATCTTCCCTTCTTACCTTCTCACAATATTTAGCCTTCTTATTTGTACCTCCCACTATATATACATATATATAGGGAAGGGTTCAAACAAGAACACCTTCATTTTACGAAAACACGAGAACATCCTTTTACTATAGTCAATCACATGTGATACTATATTTTATCAGATATGATACAGATGTGATACAAAATCGAAGATGCGGACGACCTTTGGCGCGACCTAGGTTGCGGGCCAAGCCGCTCATACACCACTAGGCCTCTCACGTGTACTATCACATGTGATAAGGGTGTTCTTGATGTGATACTATAATCTATCATATGTGATACTAAATTAGAGATGCAGACGACCTTTGGCGCGACCTAGGTCGCAAGACACATCGTTCGTACATACCAGGTCCCCTCACGTGCATTATCACATTTGATAAGAGTGCTCTCGTGTTTTCATAAAATGGAAAGTAGACACATACTTTCAAAAATGGACACTTGTTCTTGGACAAACTAAAAAGAAAGATCCACACTTAGGGGCCATTTATCAAATGCCTACCGATAAGAGTTGCCAACTAACTTATCTTATAGGATAACATTCTCGATCATCAAAGTGGAATGTTTCTTGGTGTCTCTTACCCGGTAAGCGCTAACTAAGTAAGACTCTTCTCCCTCACTTATCAAGTAAGATTCTCCGTCTTTTTTGTTATGCCTCTTACCGAGTAAGATTCTAGGTCCTTGCCATGCTCACTAGGTAAGCACTTACTCAGTAAGCGTTTGGTAAATGGCCCTTATTTTGGGACGGAGGGAGTAGAGGTGGATAAAAGAAAAAAGAATCAAATAGAAACATCAGTCATACCTGCCATCCAAAGGGATAGATAAACGAATATCCATCTGTCTTGTCTGTGACTGGTAAAAACCCCTTCGCATTTTCTGCAGCAACTGAGCCAAATCAAAAGTTTACTCTTAGAAAGCCATGATTATTATTAACGAATTAATCAAACTCACAGCACAGATATCAAATGTCATCTAAAGACCGAAAGAAAAACAGGTAAAAGTTAACGACATGGCATCTATTAGCTTTAAGTGAAATAAATCAATAATCATCGATCAGCAGGTAAGTATACGTACATGCCGTTGATTTTTGGTATGACAATAAGAACCATGGAGCAACTGTTACTCCAGTCGCAAGCAGTTGCCGCCTCCCGAACTTATCTGTAAAAGAAAAACTCGAACTGTAATATATATATATATATATATATATATATATATATATAACCACCTAATTTGTACAAACCGTGCAAACTTCATTCAACCAATCGTAATTTTTCATTTTGTTCATTTTTTTTTTGTAATTATGAGAGGTTGATTAACCATTTTTATTGTGGAGGGTGTTAATCATGGATATTATCATCTTCATTATTTTAATTTTAGAGAAATACATGAAACAGTTTCATTAAAATTTTATTAAATATTATATGAAACAATTTCATAACCATATATGAAACAAATTCATCAAAAAAAAGTATTATATGAAACAATTTCACAAGATTAAACAATTTTATGAAAAATTTTCATAAGATTAAACAATGAAATCGACGTATGAGGGTGGTTTGTACGGTTTGTACAAATGAGAGTGGTTTTCATTTGATCGCTTCTCTCTCTCTCTCTCTCTCTCTCTCTCTCTATATATATATATATATATATATGTGATATGCATTCTGTTTTAGCAAAAATGGGATAAAATGTCTAATCACATTTTTGTAAGTACAGGAAATATTTACAACCTTCGGTTATCTAGCATGTACAACCTTGTATATCAGGATGCAACAAAATGTTATTTTAAACTATGGAAAAATATATTTCCCATTTAATGTTATTAAGTCCCCAAATAAAAACTTAAAACAAAAGGCAAAAGAAAAAAAAAGGAAAAAGGAAACATAACTAAATTTGAGCTCATATTTGATTTCTATTCAAATTTTACGGCCAAAACTTAAGTTGATTATCTTTTAGACAAAGATTAATAACAAAAAAACTCGCGTATGCAAATTCAAAGTTTAAGAGTGTAGCCTAGTTTTTGTGAAGCTATATTGCCATTATCTCTCTAAATATATTGTTTTATTGTTTTCATTTGAGAAGAGACCATAAAGAGGTACTTAAAGAGAGTCTCTATGGAGGTAGGACGGTCTAGAGGGAGGATGCCGAGCAGTTGTAGAGCAGAGTGGTCCCAAACCGTTAGAGCGTTGACCAGTAATACACTAGGAGTAACGTCTAGGAAGGGTTAGGGACCAAGTAAAATCTTGGTGGTTGAAGACTGCCAAGATGCCGAAAGAGCGGAGACTTAGGGGTTGTTTGGTTGGTTTTTCATTAAGTCCTGTATGGAAAAAGCTGTTTATATGAATTAATTTGTCTGTATGGATTGGAATGGTTTTTGTTTGGGAGGGTTTTTCATAAATGGAATGAACATGTTTTTTAACAGGGAGGGGAGGGTTTGACCAAAAACTTGGCTTTCTGCATCAAGCTCCCCCTTGAAAACTTACTGAAAAAGCCACTACCAAACAATCATGTATAGCTGACCGAATAAGCTGAGAGTCCCATTAAGCTGCTAACAAACAGGCCCTTAGTGTGGTGGTGCCATTATATAAGAACAAAGGCGACACGCAGAATTGCGGATAACCATCGCAGTATAAAGCTTCTTAGCAGGACCATGAAATTATGGGAGAGAGTGATTGAGGCCAGGGTACGACACAAGTTAAGAATGAAAATTAAGATCTTCAATCCCATCCACTCAACAATTGTATCTTTCTGATTAAAGAGAATCAATAACTAAGCAACTCGAGAACTGGGGTTTAAAAAATAAATCAAACTTTTATGATGTTTGGTTGGGGCATGTGCCCCTACCCCCATAAGGTGGATCCGCCCCATATGTGTAATGTTGTCAATCCTAACATCTACTGATCACCAGATCTCTAAATTAGCAAATCACCAAACGGCGAAAGCACTCTGCTGGGCCAACACCGTCACTGAGAGACGAAAGGCCTCATTGGTAAGTGCTACAAGATCTCGTGCATTGGAACCCATGGTTATGGAACTGAATCCATTAGCATTGAGCATTTTCCGCAAACTCTGGTTAACTACTAAAAAGAATAATCATCTATCAACCATACTGAAATATTTCTTCAATAAAAAAACAACATAAACTACATTGCGTGAGTTATAAAATTTCATTCTAGATAATAACGCAGATGTTTACCTTGGAGAGAGGTTGAAGGTGCCGATATTTGCTCTGCTCTAACAAGAAAAGGCACGCCTCTTTGGAACCGGCCATTGGCATACACCCCTAGCTGATGCACAGAGTCAAGTTACGTAAAATTACGAAAATGACCCTAACTTGTGTTTCCGATAGTCACATACAATAAACGGGCCAAAATACTATATACTTGTTGGTATCTGGGTTACCAATAGAGCCCCTCCCTGGAGGTCACCAAAGGTGAGGAGTGTGTGTGAGTATTTGCTGTATATATAAAATTATATACTTGATAAAACCGGAGCAAGAGGATAGAGAAGAGAGAAACCTGAGTAGATGCATTTAGCAACAATGTCTGATGAATACAAGGTAACTGTTGCAAAGACAACATTTCTTTGGTTTGCTCTGCACAAGAGCACCAATTATGCAATGCGTAATTGCAATCACTCAAAATCGTTGTGAAATCCTTGGCAATCCAATTAGAATGTACAATAGAAAACCTATATTTTGGTTAAAAATCAGATTGTTGTCGGTTAATTTAGGACAATTTAATCACCAAGATTTAACATCTCTAACAATGGTGTCATTATCATATGATTATTTGTCCAAAGTTCGAAAAAATCTTTTAAAACTAAACAAAAAACCAATATTCAAAATATGGGTTCCTCAAATGTAAACTAAAACATGTAAACATGTGCATTGTGGAGTTAATTTTCTTTGGGGACTTTCATCGAACACCAAGATGGCACTTCCCCATAAGAAGGTGGAAAAGAGAGGGAAAACAGCAATAAGGCCTCATATCGCAATGTTTCGAATAGCTTTGACTTGATATCACCATTGGGTTACAACAAAATGGACCTAGAGTTAGTTCTCACTGATTTATATCACACAAGTTAGGGTTTTTCTGCAATGTATTACTCTCTGTTCTTCAATAACAAATTTGCAATAGTTTCTCAATGTGGAAGACGATGAGGATATCACATGGTCCATATCACCAAGCATTTTGCATATAACTGAAAACTGCATTTCCCCCAAAATCACATAACCCACCATTGTTAACAAATTTGGAGCAAAATTTAGATTCCCCAGTTGCATGGAGAACAATAACACACAAGAATACATACACATATACATACATGAATCAAAATAAAAGAAATTTTCAAAAAAATAAGATCAAATTTGTACCTTGTTGGATTTTTTGGCCTAATAAAGCAAGAACTAAAGCCAAAAAGATGAAGCAGAAGTTGGGATTTTCAATTTTTTTTTTGATTTTATGGCAACCACATCATCATATATGATATACATCTCATTCTATCCACTTCCTTATATGCCTCTCATATTCCTTTAGGCTAAAAAGACTCTTTTACCCTCAGGAAATATTGTGAAAACCAAGATAATAGTGATGTAGGAGTTGGGGTACTTTAGTCTTTCTCGAAATCAGCAACCAGAACCCGGGTTTTGGAGGTCGGGTCGGGTGGGATTAATACGGATCAAGTCGTTTTAGGTTTTGAGGAACGATCTTGAAATCTTGAATCACAGAAAAGCTTTCTCCTGCAGTGTGTAATACGAAGATGCTTAGACCATCTCCGCCGTTAATGGCGGCTCAGCTTCGGATCCTACTTCGCCGTCGTTACTTCTCTTCACCACCACCACCGCCGCCGCCGCTACAATCAATCTATCGCCACCAGCGATTTCTCAACCCACAAAAACCCTCAATCCCTAAACCCTACTCCCTCTTTATCCCATTTTCCCTTTCTTTCTCTAAATTCTTCTCTTCACAGACCCAAATCGAGACTTCACTTCAAGATTCACTAGACATTGCCCAAACGCTCTCGTATGAACTCCTCAAAGACCCAAATGACCAATCTCTCCCTCTCAATCAGCGTCTTGACCTAAGCTTCTCTCACATCACTCTCACATCAACTCTTATTCTCAACACACTCAATCTCTCCTCCAAATCCGGACGCACTGCTCTCGATTTTCATAAATGGGTATCTGAAAGAACTGATTTTAACCTAACTGACGAAAGTTTGGCTCATTTTATCGATTACTTCGGTCGGCGTAACGATTTCAAAGCGACCCATGAAGTTCTTGTTGCCAGCAAAGGGGTTTCGGGTGTTAAAACATTTGAATCATCTATAGATCGTCTGGTTAGAGCTGGTAGACCAACACAAGTTGTTGCATTTTTTGATAAGATGGAGAGTGATTATGGGTTTGTAAGGAATATGGATTCTTTAAAGTTGATTGTTTCTAAGTTATGTGAACATGGGTTTGCAAGTTATGCTGAGAAAATGGTTACCAATGTTGCTAATGAGTTTTTCCCAGATGAGTTTATATGTGATACATTGATTAAAGGTTGGTGTGTTGATGGGAAGCTAGATGAAGCTAGAAGGTTGTCACAAGAGATGTACAGAGGAGGGTTTGAGATTGGTCCGGTAGCATATAATGCGATTCTTGATTGTGTTTGTAAGCTTTGTAGGAAGAAAGATCCCTTTAGGCTTCAATCTGAAGCAGAAAAAGTGCTAATTGATATGGATGTTGCTGGGGTTCCAAGAAATGTGGAAACTTTCAATGTTTTGATTACGAATCTGTGCAAGATTCGCAAGACTGAGGAGGCGATGAATCTTTTCGATCGAATGGGAGAATGGGGGTGTCATCCTAATGAGGAAACATTTCTTATTTTAATCAAGAGTTTGTATCAGGCTGCAAGAATCGGAGAGGGAGATGAGATGATCGATAGAATGAAATCTGCCGGATTTGGGGGTGCACTCAATAAGAAGGTGTACTACGAGTTTCTCAAGATTTTATGTGGAATCGAGAGGATTGATCATGCTTTAACGGTTTTCGTAAAGATGAAGAAAGATGGTTGTGAACCTGGGATCAAGACTTACGATCTTTTGATGGGAAAACTCTGTGGTCATGGCCGTGTTGATAAGGCAAACCTTCTTTTTAAAGAAGCTGAAAAGAGGGGATTAGCAGTCGAACCAAAAGCGTATAAATTGGATCCAAGATTCATTAAGAAACCGGCAGCAGTGAAGGAGAAAAAGCGGGAGACTTTGCCGGAGAAGATGGCACGAAAGAGGAGACGGCTTAAGAAGATCAGGTTGAGTTTCGTGAAGAAGCCGAAGAAAGCGCAAAGGCGGGCTTATTGAGCATTTTGATATCGGTATAATGATCTTTATTATATTGAATATTGCTATATTCTGCTTGTTGTTTTTGTCTTGTTGGTTGGCAAACATTAGAACACACAGTTTTTTGATCAGAAATAAACTCTCAAATAGGTTGAAACCTCTAATGTTATTTGAGGTGATTGATTGTTGGAGATGTTATTATCTCAAAGATAGAGTTTTGGACTTCATTTCTATATACCTTTTTGATGCTTCTGAATGGCAGTTGGTAGAAGATGTATGGGTAATGACTTAACTGCTTGACAAAGGATTAGAAAGAAGTTGTTAAGTACAATTTTTAAATCAATTACTTGTTTGTGAAGTGTTTTGAAATCTTGAAAAGAATGTAACGAGAAAGGTCCGGAAGTGTGTGTTTGGTATGTGGGACAAGACAGAACAAAACGTGTTGTCCAGTGTTTGGTGCCAGAGTCAGGGGTTGTTTGGTTGTTTTCCACCAAGTCCAGGATGAAGCTGTGTATGGTATAGATTGGGAAAGATTCTGTTTGGGAGGGGTTTTTTCATAGATGGAATGAGCATGTTTTTTAATTGGGAAGGGCAGGTTTGGGAAAAAACTTGGCTTTCTGCATAGAGCTTCCCCTAGAAGCTTACTGAATAAGCCACTCTATATATTATTAAGCCACTACCAATGAGCTATATATAGCTGCCTGAATAAGTTGTGAATCTCATTAAGCTCATTAAGTTGTTATAAACAGGACCTTAGATTGGGATAGAACAAGACTTAGGGGACGTGTACCAAACGAATACAGGGTAATCACTTACTGACAAGAGTCACCATCTTCACTTACCTTATTGAGTAACATTCTTGGCTATCAAAATGAATTGTTGGTAAGCACATCTTATCTGGTAAGTGCTAACCGAGTAGAACTCTTCTTCACTTACCGAGTAAGATTCTTCACTTACCGAGTAAGATTTTGGTTCTTGCTATGCCTCTTACATAGTAAACGATTCTCGGTCCTTACTATGCCTCTTACCCGGTAAAGATTATCGGTCATTTCCGTGCTCATCCAGTAAAGTAACACCTGGTTAGCGTTTGGTAAATGGCCCGTTAGTGATACAAAATTGTAGCATTTTTTGTCCCACTAAAATAAATGGAACAAAAATAAGGGAATGAGACAAAGTAGGTAAATTACTACACTATCCATTTTAAATTAAAATCTTCCATAATTCTTTCAGATGCCTACCTCATTCTCTCTGGTTTGGTCTTGTCTTGTCCTGTACGTGTGCCAAAGGCACCCTAAATGTTCCCACTTGTATTATTTTGATGACATTAAGATGCCTGTTATGAAAACCAAAAATCAAACACATCATGTATATCTCACTCAAAAGTAGCATCTTAATGTATATATATATACATATACATACATATATATACATACACAGGGGCCTAATCAAATGAGAACTAATTAGTTTGTGGTAACTGTGAGAACCAATATTAACCACAAATCAATAGATAAATTAGGAAATTTATAATTTTGGCAATTTTGAATTAAAATATTAATGCAAGGATATTT